CACCGTGGTATTGCCCGCTCGGGCTGTATGCAGCGTTGCGAGTCACGTCAAAAACAATTCCCTTGATTGCGACCAGCGTAGGACGATTCGGATCGGTGCCTGGGAGTCGCACTCGGTCAGAGATAGCGAGCATATAGGTATCCCCTAACAAAACCAACTGACCGTCGCACTTCGATAGTTCCTCCACAGTTATCAGATCGTATTTGGGGGGGTCGAGCTGGACAGGAATCTTAGGAGAAAAACGTTTCGGCTCGGGCTCGTGTTCGACCATGGTGTCTCACTGATAGTCATACAACTTCGCTGTTTTTCTTGCGCTGGTGGGTGATTATGTATGATTCCAGATCCTATAAGCAAGCAAGCTAATGTAACCAAGGAAAGAAGTTGATGGTGGGATTCGGGACGAGAAGACGCGGGGCAGGCGGGGGAAGAAGTGCTCGGTCCGGTGCAACCGTGTGTCGGAACTTGGGAAAAAGCGACCTCCAATTCTGCCATTGGTCTGCATTTGAAGTACTCGGTACTCTTTTTTTTTCTCATTAAACAAGAAAGTATTTTCATACTCATGACTCAAAAAACTGAGGAGGTTAGGATTGTTATTTCATTGAACAGGAGCCTATTTTCTTCCACCGTCTTTCAATCTATATAAAGATTGAGGTTGCTTGTAAGGATACGTACTGTACTTGGAGGGCTCACAGTACTTTGAGTACCAAATTTGCATAATACTACTTTAGGCATCTGACGTCAAGGAATGCTGGACAACAACTGTATTACACGAATACTGTGTATTTCCCAATGACGAACATCCACCTACCTCTTCCCTCCTAGAATTCTCGTACATCTTCAGATCCGCTGATTTGTTATCATCGCATTATCTCCTCCAACTTCAATTCTCACTGCTGCTCAAACAATGTCCGCAAGTCACTTCAATCAGCCGGGGAAGTTTGAGTCCGTACCTCTCCCGACAGAAAGGCCCGAAGTTGGTGAGGCTACCCACTCACAAACTCATCAGCAGAGCCCTCTGGAGCCAGACTTATCGCATCACCTATATTTTGAAGATAATGATGGCTTCTTTCCTCCAAGTTGGCTGGGGCAGAAGCCCCCTGTCCAAGGCCGAAGTCGTCCGTCGACCGCAGAAACCGAAACGACAGCGCGATCCCACTAGATGTTGGATGGGGTCATGAGGACTTACAACCTGCGCACCCCCCCCCCTCCTCTCTCTCCTCTGAATTCTACCGACTGATTTGGACGCAACGATGGCGCTCTTCGGAGATTCTACAGCATTTGTTGTTCCTGGCTGGCCAATTTTCTGCTGGGTGCTTTACTGAGGCCATCGAGTTGTCAGATTTACCATGTTTCACCTCCTCTTCAAGGCCTTGATAAATGATATGTTCTGCAAGTAGGCACGGTTGGGATGAACCTTTAAGACCGTATTACTCCGTACAGTATGTACATACAGCACATTGTCGCCATGTGATCGTAGCAATGGGGCGCCTCAGGCAGTAACGTTATGTCCTGCCTATGTCTCGGGACTGTAATCACTTACAACAGACAGTAAAAAGTCTAGGCTACGTATTGTTCTCCGTGCTCCGTGACTTGAAATTGTTGTAAACTGGCGGCATCCCCCACCCCACCTCTCTCTCTCCAACAAGTTCCCGCACACCTCTCGCACCCCGCCAAATCACACCAATTTAACAATGACCTACCTACCCTCTCTCCTCTTTTCCTTTGATGCAATCCTAGAGCCATCATTATTTCGGAGGCTGGCATTGGAAATCCTATGGCTGACATGTGTTAGTTACATATAATTGATGGAAGCCTCATGGGTTAAGGAATGTCGCTGTGGGGTTTTCTGAGCCCTCCCTTTGGTCCCTCCGCGCTAGTCTGTTGTCTATCTCCGGGTTCCAAGTAAGGGCTTTATTATCTGCCCGCCATTGTGGGGAGCCAAATTGGAGTCGACCGTGCTGGAGATATCCTTCTTGCTCTTTGATTTGCTTTCTTGCGTGTCTTTTGACATACCTGCCGAGGTAGGCCAGCAAATTCAGCAGGCAACTGTAATAAATCATGGTGATTACGATCATGATACCGTCTCACGCCCGCTTCTAGTGGCTTGCTACATATACGACGGTCTCCCTTCGTCCGCTGCTTTCTTAGCCCTTGGTCTTCTCTCCGGAGTTTCTTTCTGCATTGTTCTTCATGCAGCGCGCTCTTACTTCTGTCGATCCTTGGTCTTCGCCCATCCGAGTGAACCAGAATTGCAAGGCCATATACACGCTTCGCAGATGACTATTGCAACTGTTATCCACGAGGGGCAATCCCCGACGATAGATTGTCCTGATAGCAAGCATGCTGCCAGTCACCAAGAACCCCATGAAAAGGGTGGGGTTGTCAATGGTAGTGAAGAGTCCGCTGTCTGTTCAAACACATTCGCCTCCGACCATACACATCGCAAGCTTAAGCCCAGGCACATACAACTTATTGGCATCGGCGGTACAATTGGCACAGCACTATATGTGCAGATTGGTAAAGGCTTGATGCATGGTGGCCCTGGCAGCCTGTTCCTGGCCTTTTTGATCTGGTTAGTTTCCCAATACTGCCCCCGATTTGTCTTCATACTACCCTTCCTCCCCTCCCCTACTGTTACCCTCTTCCATCTCAAACCGGCAAATATTGTCCCAGAGAGTTTGCCTCAATGAGTGAGTTAACTATCACTGCAAATCGGCCAATGCATCCACTGGATGGATGACGCATTGAGACCTGCTGGTCAACCTGAACGAGCTGCCTTTACAAGCCCCGTGGAAACTTAAGTAGGATATGACTGCTACACATATCTGATCTGGCTGTGAAATAGCACGGTTTGCATATGGCCTTTGTGATCAAATACCTCTTCTCACCGTACGTGGAATGCCAAATCTTATATGCTTTTGGAATAGGTCCCTAGTCATCCTCTGTATAACAGTTTGTAAGAGGCCCTATTGTTCAATCCTGTTGGCTTCTCCCCTCGCGGTCCGAAATTATTTTTTTCGGTTCTACCTCTCTGCCAACAAATGCACCTCGAGCCTTGCGCTATTTCGAAATTGAGAACCTTTGAAAGCATGAATACGCCTGCGTTTCTACCGATCATCAGTCCCTAGGCACCCTATATTCGTTTCACCTAGTATGACCGTCACTGAACAAATTCTTGTGCTAGGCCTGGCAGAAATGGTTACCTACTTGCCCATCTCATCACCCTTCATTAGATTCGCTGGTCGATATGTCGACGAAGCCTTCGGCGTGGCTGCTGGTTATAACTTCTTCATATTCGAAGCCGTTATGGTTCCGTTCGAAGTTACGGCATGTAATATGATCATCAACTACTGGAGTGATGTAGTCCCAGTTGCCGGGATTGTTATCATTGTACTGGCACTCTACGTGTGCGTGGCCTCCTGCATTCTGATGGACCGCTGGACCGCAGTTTTCTAACCAGATCTGACCCTGTTGACTCTTTAGTCTTTTGAATCTCTTTGCCGTCGAATGGTATGGCGAGTCTGAGTTCTGGCTTTCTCTCAGCAAAGTCTTACTCAGCGTGGGGTTGATATTCTTCACATTTATTGTGATGGTTGGAGGCAATCCTCTCGGCGACCGGTTCGGCTTCCGGTACTGGAGGAATCCTGGAGCCTTCGCAGAATATTACAAACCTGGCGATCTTGGGCGGTGGCTTGGGTTCTTGGCTTGTTTCATTCAGGCCAGCTTCACCATCGCCGGACCAGATTACGTCTCAATGGCTGCCGGGGAGGCAGTCAATCCTCGTGGAGTTCTACCGAAGGCTTACAACGGCATATTTCTTCGGCTCACGGCATTCTTTGTTTTGGGGGTGCTTTGCATCGGCATTTTGGTTCCTTATAACGACCCCGAAATGGCGGCTGCGTTTGAACAAGACTTGCCCGGCGCTGCGTCATCGCCCTATGTGATTGCAATGGATCGGTTACAAATCCCCGTGCTGCCACACATCGTCAATGCCATGATTCTCCTTGCTTCGTTCAGCGCGGGTAACAGCTATGTTTACTGTGCCAGCCGTAGCCTTTACGGGCTTGCGCTTGATGGCAAGGCGCCACGTATCCTCACCAAGTGCACCAAGAAGGGTATACCGATCTACTGCGTGCTGGTCGTGCTTCTTATCTCTTTCCTTGCGTTCTTACAGGTTTCCAATGGCTCAGCAGTCGTACTTAACTGGTTTGTTAGTCTGGTAGGGCCCCCTCGCAGAACGTGCCATTAACTTGGAATGTTGACCAGAGTGACAGATGACAGCCTCCCAACTCATCAATTTCTCAGTCGTCACCTTCACATACACTAGATTTAGAAAAGCTCTGATCGCACAGGGCGTGGCCCGGCAGACTCTACCCTACCGGAGTTGGGGCCAACCTTATGTCGCCTACATAGCTTTGGTCTCCACATTCGTCATGACCTTCGTCGGAGGATACACAGTATTCCTGCCCGGTAACTGGGACGTACCGACATTCTTGTTTTCGTACACAATGATTGCGGTGTTTCCAATCATTTATGTCGGCTATAAATTATTCTGCCGGACAAAGCTTTGGAAGCCCGAAGAGGTTGATATAATGACTGGTGTGGATGATATAGATGAGTATACGAAGAGCTATGTTGAAGTACCTTCGCGGTAAGCCCTCAACCCTCCACGACTATGCATGACTGCCATGACGATTTATGTGAATTGACAAGACACAGTAATCCTTTCTCACGATTTGGCGATTGGCTGTTCGGCTGATCTACTTACATTGTTGGACCAAAGAGGGGTGGCAAACATGATGTGTTTAATTGCTCCAGGCGGGAGATAAATGATCAAGATATAGTTGTGAACGTGACGCGCCGTCCGGCAATGCGCCCCTGTAAATTATTCAACCGGTGTAGAAAGCATATAACAACAGCACAAGACATTACGATTCGCAGAACCGCCCAGCAGCCGACGCGACCGAATTGTCTCTTCTCGGTGCGAGTTGTGAGAGTACCTAGTTTTCCTGTCCCTGTTTCTGTTCCTTTTTGATAGCATCCATCCTCAATTTGTTCCGCTTGCCCAAGACTCTCAATGCATTTGTCCGCTCGATCTCGGTCATCTGCTCCCAGTTGGAGATTCTCGATAGTGTTCCATCCTGATTGACGACCAACGGGCCTAGATGGTCCAGCTTCACGGATGACCCATCACCACTGACGTCGAGCTGTCGCGTCGCAGAGTCGACACTATTCGCATCTGGAAGAGCGAGGTATTCTTTCCGCTCCTGATTTTCAGGAAGGGTGGCGGTGCCCGTAGTTTGGGACTCTTGGGAAGTGGCCGTCGACATCGTTGAGCAGAAACTGGTTTTATGGTGACGGTAAAGATGAGAAGCGAAGCAATGCGGATGACTTGGGAGATGGAATTGGATTAGTGGCGTACTGATCGCCAATGCGCGGGTGGATGTGGACGTGGTAAGAAGTGGGTTGAGGAGAATGTTCAGGAGAGAGGCACGGGTCAAAGGGCCAGACATGTGCATTATATGTCGGTTACCTAAGCTGTAGCTCTAGTAGGGTGCAAAAGAGAGAGAGAAAGGGAATTGAGTGATGTGTGACAGACAGAAAATAAAGGGATTTTTTATCTTGTGAGGTGGAATAAGGTGGTGAGAGGGAGCTCTTGGGCGGGACCGCGGCGGGGAGAGGATTCTAGAACTTTAGAGGGACGACCGACACTTGCCCTCTATAGCTTCACTACTGAGAATACAGGCTTCGAGGTGCTTCCAATAAGATCGAAAACTTTTCCCCCTGTTTGTGGTGACTTTTCTTTTATTTCTGTGTTTTCTTTGTCCCGTGATAATAGAGTTGTATACTATAAATAGGGAAACGTATGATTCGATTCTACTTTTTTTACAATCTACGGACTATAGCTGCATTTGGCAGCACTTATTATCTGAACCACCAGTTGACCTGGTGAAAAATCAATAAACTCCCTTGAGCAAACGTGACAGCATGGGATCTTACCGAAGCAGTCACACCATCCCCCAGTCCCTTAATGCTATGCCACCATCCTCGAGGTATGAACATACCGTCTCCAGCCTCTAGGTACGCTTCAAATCCGATGGGACCACTAGATTCGGTAGCTGCATCATCCCAGACAGCCTGCTCAAGCAGCACCCTCTCCTCGCCGTGCATCATGTCATCTCCCCGAATTGCAGCAGATTCACGGCCGGCGCTCTTCCCCAATTGGCGTCGCACCGCGCCGAATACCCTTTGCCCTTCCGAGGGTGGTAACAATCGCACCACCTTCTGTCCGGCCAGCTGGACAAACAGATTTGGGTTCGGATCGCGGTGAAGAGGGGTATACGTGGGCGGATATCCGATCCAAATGTTTGTATCGTAGACATCGCCCTTTCCTACCTGCGCAACCAGGTCTGGGGTGGGGAGATCGTCGCGAAGGACCTGCGGCAAGTCAAGGAGCTGGCACTGCGCCAGGTACAGACGCATCGTGTGCGATTCGAGAGATTCCGCAGTAGATATCCATTCGAGGAAGAGGCTTAGAGGCGTGTAGAACTGCCGAAAGCTATGCTCACCCGCTCCAGTACTAGTTCTAGCAGAAGCCTGTGTCAGCTCCAAGGGAACCAGAGCATCCGCGCCATATTGACTGAGATACGTGGTGTTCAATCGGGACGGCGAGTCGCGGAACCATTTCTCGGAGGCGGGAAGGGTCTGAAAATATCGGAGGGGGAGGATTATAGGGTGTTCCGGGATGAAGTATGCCTGACGAAAGTGGTCGAGCTTAAAATCCTCGAGGGATTCCAATGGGCGGTACTGGTGTTGCGATGCCGTCGTGGAGAAAGAGCTGAGGCACTGTTGGCTTGGTTGGTTGCAGTGAAAGTGCCTCCTCCATACCCGGAGGTTACTGTAACATGACTGTTGGGGGACCCTCATCCAGATTGGTGAGATTTAGTAAATCAATCTTGCAGGCAGATATTCTGGTGCGGTGTTTTCAAAATTCAGGCCAACTTGGTTGGGGAGACTGGAAGGTCGGGGAATTTTCCGCCTCGAGCTTCTACCGGTTCCCTTCCCCAAATTGGGCCAATTCTAACTTGGGAAGTGTTAAGCTTACCGCCTTAACTAGAGTCACTCTCTCACTCTACGTAACCGGGACCCTGTCCGACCGTTCACCCGTCTGGGGAAAACGGAAACCCCGCGCGCCCATCCGCTGAGGAGAAGGAATCTATCCGCACCAGTCACTGCTTGCTTTCACATCAACGATTGATCGTCGCATCGTGTTTCTCACCTAAAATGGCTTCAGAGTCTCCTCAGACTGATATGGCACCACCCCAGCCGGACTCCACGGACCAGAACGAAGCCCCGGCCGCCGATACGACGAAGAGGAAGGCGGAACAGACTAACGGAACGCATACTCGCACCAAGCGGAATCGCTACATCTCTATCGCATGGTATGATTCCGGCTCTAAAATCCACCGAGACAAAAACCCAGACCTCTGTCACTTGCGGGACTGCAATTTGCTGACACAAGGCTGGGTCCTTTCTTTTGTGTTTAGTAATGAATGCAAACGACGCAAGATTAAGTGCAACGGCCAGGTACCTTGCCAACGCTGCGGACACCTTAATCTCGAGTGTTAGTTGTCACCGCGAGGGCTGTGTAACTCAGAGATGACGTCGATGCAAGGGACAAGCTGAGTGATTATCCTAGGCCGATATGCCCCGAACTGCTGCAACAACAATTTCAAGGATTCCGAGTAAGTCGACTGGGCAATGATTTCATTGATCCCGCATTACATACACCCCCGAGGCGCCATGGCTCACCGAGCATCTTACATAGAGAATTTCGTTCGATGCAAGACCAAATCAAGACTTTGCAAGATCAAGTCAATAGTCTTTTTTCTAAACTAAAGGATCTTCGGTCTCAGCGATCGTCTTTAGACCCACCGGGCTTCGATAGGTTCTCTCGAGATGGCTCCCAATCAGTCTTCACGGCAATGCATGCACCATTGGCGAAACCTCGCATGAGGCATCCGCGCTTTCAGGGCCCTACCAGTTCTGCTTTCAACTTTGATGTCGCGCGTTCCAGCTTGCAGAGCATGGGCATTGCGCCAGCTGAAGAGATGATAACAGATGATCTCACCACAGCACATGCCACCCCTGCCGGTTCACCTCCGCATGTGGGGCAGCTTGTTTCCACAATACATCCAACTAAAGACCCGATATGGGTTATCAAGAGGGATGAAGCCCTGCGACTTTGCCAGGTGTACGAGGAGGAAGTTGGGATCATGTATCCTCTCATAGATATCGAACAGGTAGCGCAACAAGTGAACTTGCTCTACACATTTGTGGAAGCTGCAACACGGACTGGATTTGCACAGAGAGGTCTCCCCGGTGCAGATGGCCTCCATGACGACAGCACGCTTCTTTTGAAGATGATTCTCGCAATCACTTTGGTGATTGAAGGGGGCGGCCAGAGCGAGCTAGCACGGCGCCTGTACCTAAATGTCAAGCCGGTTGCTGAAGCTAAAATCTGGGATCCACTGGACATTAGGACCATTCAACTATATGGTTTGATGGTATGTCCTGTTTTGGAACCACCAAAATACGATTGTTGACCGTGTGTCTAGGCAACCTATCATTTCCATTCGGATGATGATGCCATGGCATACCGTATCATTGGCATTGCAGCGCGTATGTGTCTTGAAATGGGCCTGCACCGACGAGATGCGCTGGCAAAATCATTTCCCAACGAAGACCAGTGGCCTGCTATTGTGAAGACCTTTTGGTCGGTATATAGTTTGGACAGGCGTTGGAGCTTTGGCACAGGGCTTCCCTTCATCATTCAAGATGAAGACATTGATCCCAATCTGCCCGAGCCGGTGAGCCCCGTCGTTCGACCATCGATCCAGTTATTCGTAGAGCTAACCGATCCTTAGGACGCGTCTCTACTTTATCTTAGGTGCATGATATCGTACAACCGCATCAGCTCCAAGATATGGTACTCTGGACTTGGCTCGGAAGGAGCAACTGACATACGACGCGATGAGATTGGCTATTTGGACTATCAGATTCTACAATGGTATAAACAGGTTCCAGATGGGCTGAAGTTCTACCCAGTCGATGTTCCGAAGCATCACCATGGTGAGTCAACTAGCCGAGGTCTTCGAAGATTGAGGATTCTCTTATATCTACGCATGAATCAGCTTCGGATCCTCATTTACCGGCCGGTGCTGCATTCCGCGGCGAGCATCGCGGAAGACAAAGGTCACGCGCAGACCGTGGTGGATATTGCAAAAGACACGATTCGAGTGCTCACTCGGCTCAACGGAACGTCCGACATCTATCGCACGCAGCAAATCACTTTCAACTATTTTCTAGTCGCCGCCTTAGCGGTCCTCTTCCTCGCTGTATGCCACGCACCGAATGACTTCAACCGGCAAGTGCGGGATGAATTTTACATGGCTCTTGAACTGGTCAGCGGGTTCAGTACCAAATCTTATGTATCCAAGCGACTCTGGAAGACAATCAAGGGTCTCCGCAAGATAGGCGAACGGTTGGGTGTCATTATACGACCTTTTGGCACTGATTCCAACGACCCTCATTCTTCCGCGGCTGTCGCAATGGCCGGACTGGCTGGTCACCAGATCGAGGATCTTTCGGTGTATGGGTCGGTGAATGGCACTGGAGAGCTAGGAAACAGCCCGCTGAATGGGCTGCAAATGAGCCATGAACTTACAAATCTCTTCGAGGCGGTTGGGGGTTTCGGCAATTTCATGACCTCGGGAGGGGCGTCAGAGAGCCTTAATGGCTTTATTGGCCAGGATGGGGAGATCCAAAACACCGGGGAAGGGTTGTCAGGTGTTCTTGGGGATGAAGGCGAATGGTCGCGTGTTATACGGGATTTATTTTAGATGTTTGAGCTGTATTTGGGATGTGGCTACAGCCTGTCTGTGGCTATCACCTCGCCGATGAATGAGAACTTCCCGAATCATTCTTCATGCCAGATCTAGGGCCTTGATCATTCATAGTATCCATAGTAATTCGTCTGTTCGGTAGAATCCGTCGTCGAAATTGTGGTGGAAAACTAATCACGTGATCATGTGGGTGCAGTACATGGAAGGCTCACCTCAAGATGCTTTCCCAGAGAAGGAGCAACGGTCGCCATTATATTATATCGGAACAAAACTTGATCTCATGCTGGTATGAGCGCTGCCACCAGCGGGCTTGCTTTCGTCTTGGTCTTCTCTTGTCTTTAATGAGCTGAAATTAAAGTCCCGCCTCTATCTCTCGTCCCCTCTCACCGCCCCACGGATCTAATTTCGGAAGCCCCTCGACAACCTCCGTCGATCCATTCATCCAGAACCGAGCTGGGAGTGCGTGATCCAGCCTCATCCCTAGCTTGCCACTCCTTTGGTGACTCTTGGACTTTGCTTCAGAGCCTGTTCTGTGACATTCCATGTCCATTTAAGTGATTCGCTGGTTAGTGGATGCCCCAATACACTATACTATTATCGTCGACATCCCTCATCGCACAATAATCCGCCGGCCCGCACATTGTCAATGGCCCCTCGCCTTATCAGCCAGGCAGATGATGTACGGTTTCTAATTGACCATCTCAGCAGTTCGCCTTTCACGGCCTCTTCCTACTCAGCCCCTGATACCCTGTGCTTCGTATCTTCTCCCTCTTGTTTAAGGGAGTACCGCAAGGAACACGATTAAATTTGTACACGGCACTCGATATAGCCGGTGCAGGTTTCAGCCCGCGCTCTATCTCGGAACGAGACTCATATCGGAAGCCTGGTTTCCCCCGTTAGCTCGGCAACGTGTCGAGAGAGACAGGTTCGGCGTTGGCCGACGGCCTAGACAGGCTGGATCTGAGTCAACTGTCTGAATCAACGCCCTCATCATCCGCGTCGGACTCGTTCGATATGTCGTCGTCGGAAGGTGCACCGGAGTCATGGATCTCCTCCTTCTGCTCCTTGATGGGCCATGAGTTCTTCGCAGAAGTTTCCGAGGATTTCATCGAAGATGACTTCAACCTCACTGGCCTTCAATCGCAAGTGCCCATGTACAAGGAGGCGCTGGAAATGATCTTGGACGTGGAGCCGGAGGAAGACGACGAAGAAGAGGAGGAAGAGGAAGAGGAAGAGGATGAAGATGAGATACTGGGCGATGACAAGCCTCCGGGCTACCGGAGAGCTGGAGAGCGCAGGCATGCACGGGTGGCAAGCGATTTGAGTGTGATTGAGAGTTCTGCCGAGCTGTTGTACGGCTTGATTCATCAACGGTACATCACTTCTCGACCTGGCATTCAGCAGATGCTTGAGAAGTACGAGATGCAACATTTCGGTGTTTGTCCCAGAGTGTACTGCAATGGTTGCAGGGTCCTGCCTGTCGGTCGCTCAGATACCCCGGGGCAGGAGACAGTCAAACTGTTCTGTCCCAGTTGCCAGGACCTATACACACCTCCCAACAGTCGCTTCCACTCCGTCGATGGTGCCTTCTTCGGTACTACCTTTGGGTGCCTTTTTTTTATGACTTTCCCCGATTTGGACATCGGATCTCGGATGGACAATTCCCTGTCAGCTCTGTCTCCCGCGCGTTCTTCCTCCTTGACATCTTCCTCGATCAATAACCAGGTGTCTCCAGATGTGCCCCCTCCTAACCAGCCCGTTGAGATCAACGGCATGCGCACGGTCAATTTCAGCCCCGGTCTCGGCCCGGGCCGCATTTATGAATCACGAATTTATGGATTCCGCGTTTCAGAGAGATCACGGTCAGGCCCGCGCATGAAGTGGCTGCGCATGAAACCGATTGATATTCGTGAACTGGACGAGATGTCTCGGTACGAAGCGCTACATGGAGAGGCCGACAACGATGGCGATATGGAGATGGGTAGTGGCAACGGCGTCGCTGCTCAGAACGCCGCCATCGCCAGACGGAAGAAAGCCCCAATGCGAAGGCGCCGATACAACCCGGATCAGA